TACATTACTTCTTGAGAAAGATAAATGTGTTAAAAGAACACCAACCACAGCCACCAAGTTGGGGACTTTAATATTTTCCAGGGTCTCCCTGAGTTGGTCCACCTCTGCTCGATACTCATCCAGCTGACATTCTAATTTTTCTCGACGTACTCGTTCATATTCCAGCTGGCTCTGCAGCTCTTGGATAGTCCTGTCAAAAGAAATTTTGTTTTCAGTCAAGCTCCAGTATGAACTAAACATTATTTTGGTAAGAGTGAAAAGCATCCATGTAGTTAAGGCAAATAAAAAAAATAATGTTTATTCAATATGTATTGAGGAATACATAAAGAATAAATAATATAAATAAAATAATATGTATTGAGAGTCTACTATGAACCAGCACGGTTCTAGACACTGGGGATACACAGTGAACAAAACAGACCAAATTTGCCCTCATGGGGATTGCATTAGCAGTGGAGGAAGAAAGACAGTAAGAAAATAAATAAGTAACTATGATATGTTGAAAGGTAATAAATGCTTAGGGAGAAAAAATTAAGCAAGAAAGCGTAATATAAAATGTTACTAAGGAGGGGGTTAACACTTCACACACAGTGGCCAGGGAAGGCCTTACTGAGAAGGGGGTTTCTGAGCAAAGTCCTGAAGGAAATACAAGATGACCAAGTCGACATCCAGGAGAAGAGCATTCCATACAGAGGGAACAGCAAGTGCAAAGGCCCTAAGGCAGAAGCATGCCTGGTGGATTGGAAGGAAACCAGGGGCCGATGTGGCTGGAGTAGTTCCAAGTATAAAAGGGAGAGTAAAAGGGATCCACAAAAAGTAGAGCCTTATAAGTCATAGCAAGAACCACGGCTTTTACTCTGAGTGAAATGGGAAGCCATTGTAGGGTATAAGCAGAGAAATGAGTTAATCCAACTTAGGTTTGTTTTGCTTGGATTTGCTTTTGTTTTGTTTTTTAATGATGTAAATTTTACTTTGAGTGAAATATACAAATATAAGTGAAGAATTCAATGAGTTTTGATTAACATGTAAACCCTTCCTCACTTCCATAGGCAAACACAGTTCTGAATATCTATCATGTTAGATTAATTTTGCCAATGCTTATCAATGATATTGTACATTTTATGCTTTTTTGTACTTGGCTTCTTTCAGTCAACAGTATGTGAGATTTATCTGACTTAGGTTTTAAAATGATTACTCTGGAGGCTCTGTTAAGAACAGACTGCAGGGTATGGAGGCAGAGGATTAAAAATCTGGGATACATTATCAGAAAGATGTTAAAATAAACCCAAGCAAAAGACAATGTGACTTGAACCAGGGTATTTTTCCCCCTGCCTTATTGCTGGATGGTGAGGGGGAGAGAATTCCCAAGGCATGCTGGGTTGGTTATCAGGTGCCGAGGAAGGCAATCTGAGAAAATACAGTGGTAGCTCTGGTAGGGAAGTGAGCGGGGTTAAGCCTGGAGATAGGGAAGAAGAATGTCAACTGTGGATGCC